TCATAGTGACCCTGCACAGGGTTTCCAAGGCTGTAAATCTTTACGGGAGCAGAAAGCCTCATCTTTCTCCTGCAGAATGGCTGGTAGTTTTGAATTGCCGACCTTGAGGTTAGCAGCCCGATTCATAGCCACTACGCTACCAGAGCTCCTTAATAAACAAGTTATTGTTGTTGTTGTTAAGTGCCGTCGAGTCAGTTCCGACCCATAGCGACCCTGCACAGGGTTTCCAAGGCTGTAAATCTTTGCGGGAGCAGAAAGCCTCATCTTTCTCCCGCGGAACAGCTGGTAGTTTCTAACTGCTGACCTTAAGGTTCGCAGCCCGATTCGTATCCACTATGCTACAGGGTAACCCAAATGATTGCATGGGGAAGATCACCACCCACCTTGACCCTGGTGGTGCAGTGGGTTAAATGTTAGGGGGCTAATTGATAGGTCAGTGGTTTGAACCCACCAGTGGCTCTGCAGGACAAAGTTAAGGGAGTCTGCTTTCTAAAGGATTTACTGCTTTAGAAACCCCAGGGAGCAGTTGTACTCTGTCCTCTAGAGTCCTTATAAAGTGGAATCGACATGACAGTGGTAGTAATGGTTTACACCTATCCTTGCTCTCTTAAATTCGTTAACTCCGTCAGGAAATATTGAGTGTCTGGGCTGGAAGCAGTGCTAGAGAACAAAGGTCCTCATTTAACTTATATTCTGATAGTGGGAAACAGTAAATAGAAGCAAATAGACAAAAATAATTATAGCTTATGATAAGATGAAGCGACGTAGGGTGTTGTGATGCAGAATTAGGGTAGAAGAGGGCTCACTTTAAATAGAGTGGTCAGAGAAGCTTCTTTGAGGAAGACACATTTGAGACGTGAAGGAAGGCCCCAGAAGAGTGGTTCTGAAGGTGAAACATAATTTTTACATGCTGAGGAACTTGGTGTTTGACAAACTCCCCTCAGGATTCTAGGCCTGTTGCCTGAGTGGAAGTTGGTGAGAGAGGCAAGAACAAGCTTCAGAGACTCAGTGTCCTCTCTTCTTGGCCCAGGGCATATGGGAAATGGGTGGCAGGGCCAGAAACACTCACATGGAAGGCAAACTGGCCAGAGAAGTCGTACATGCCACAGGAATGCATGAGGCTAAGGGTGTTGCGCACTGCTTCAGCGCTCAGCACACTCTCCCCTGTGATGGGGCAGATCCCACCATTGGCGAGGGTGGCTGCCATAACACTGCCTGATTCACAGGTGACCTCCACAGAGCACAGCTGTGGAGACAAGGGAGAAGGGAAGATGCAGTGTTATCTAAACACCACGCTCTTGGGCGTAGAGCTGTATCTTTTAACAAGTTCCCCTGGTATTTGTGAAGGCCAGCTGAATGTTTACCTGGAAGTAGAGATCAAGGGCAGCCATCATGTCCACCCCCTTAGGAAAGCACTGCAAGGAAGAAGGGAGAACATTTCTCGTCAGGCCATTAGCAGCCCCTTTTACACTGCCAGCATCTCAGCTAAGCGCCTCTCCTGTTTGACCCTTCACCAGCCACAGAATTCCCAGGGACTTTCTCTACCAGCTTCTCCCAATTACCTTCTTTTCCTTGAGATAATAGCCAATGGCATAATTCCGATCCCCCGTTTCCTTCTCTGACTGGAATCTGAAGCAAGCACACAATTTAGTATTTCAATTTGAGGAATGGGTGTAGGAAGAAGGGGGAAAACACCTTCTCTGAGAGACGGGACTATATGACAGGTGTCAAATGAAATCAGCTCCTTTATAAATTCTAACAGTAGTACCGGAGGAAACTTATGACCCTGAGCAAACACAGCATAGTAAAGTACAAACAAACCCAAACCCATTCTCACTGAGTCAGTTCTAACTTATAACAACCCTATCTTGGTTTCTGAGACCAAATCTTTACAGGAGCAGAAATCCTCAACCTTCTCCTAAGATTGGCTGGTGACTTTGAACTGCTGACCTTGTGGTTAGCAGTCCAGTACTTACCCTACAGTGCCACCAGGTTTCCATAAAGTACAAAACAACAAAAATTCCAAAACTAGTGACATTTTGGCTTTGAGAGTCTTGGCAAGGAATGGCCTAGGCATGAGACATCATGCTGCCTTTCCCACTGCCTACCAAGGAACAAATTATTTCACAAAGTAAACAAATCTTAATGAAAGGGTTCAGTGGAACCTGGGAGGCCAAAGTTAACTTGGGATTTCTTAGAAGATTCTCTTTCACTCTCTCACACATTTCCCCCAATCCTCCAAAACCACACACAATACATTTAAGCCAATGCTCTGAATATGGCCTTACGTGGCATTGCTGAAACCCATGTATTCATATCCAGCCATTTTGTTCAGATACTGCAACACCTGCAAGAGAAGAAGGGGCATTGGAGGCCCCACCTGAGTAAGGACCCTACTACATACATAACACACTGACAAGCCCTTTTAAACTTCTCAGTCTATCCCAGTCTTGTCCAAGAGGGCAGGGACTTGAGAAGGCTTCCCTCTCTGGCCAGCAGATTCCCGAGTCAGTGCCGAATCATAGTGACCCTGTATAGTGTGGTTTCCAAGGAGCCGCTGGTGAGTTTGAACCACTGACCTTGTGGCTCAAACCGACCTTGTTGTCCAGTACTTTAGCCCACAGCACCACACCAGGACTCCATAGTGGGGTTAGTCAGGCATTGAGGCAGCTGGAAAGGACTGCATACCAGGGAGAAAAGCAGTCAGGGGCTGAGAATAGCAAGGGAACTTACAAAATCAAACTTCTCTGCCTTGTTACAGTCCATCTGCAGAGAGAGAGAGATGTCAGTATTCTAGCCTGGGAGGAGGATGACCAGAGAGGTGGGTCAGAAGGACCTAGTAGAGTTAGAGTGGTTTGCTACTGGAAATATGTTACACTTTATGATGATTTTTTTGGCACTGAGACCTCTCTGTAGTTGTACATAGGTGGTCACCTTAAAAATCAACCCATTTGGATTTGTTCCATTTCTATTGAGTAGGCGATGAAACAGGCAGAGTGATGGTTTGTGCCTAGGCCCGCCCTTGCCAGGACTCAAAACCAAAAACGATCTGTGAGCCTTACCCCAACTTTCAGTCTTAATTCCATCCAGCCTTCATTCCTTACCCCTCCTTTCATTTTCCTTCCATCTGATCCCTGAGTCTCACTCTTAGCCATGAGCCTCACCACCTGATTCCCACCCTTATTCTTTTTATTCCATGCTAGAACCTCACTCTAGCCCATCCCTGCCTCCCAGCCCTGTGTAGTAGAGTAGGTGACAGAAATGGGATGAAGGTGTCTGTTGCATATATTAAAATATTTAATTTTGTTGAAAATGGAAATAAGCTAAAGTGTCAAGTCCAATCGTGCCTGCTGAGATGGGGAGGGGATGAAGCCAGTCCCAGATACAGGGTTGACGATAGAGCCATCACAGAACAAGGAAGGCGCCTCAGTCTGATCTCCTCACCCAGCCTCGTTGATTCTTGCACATGTCAACTAGAGTCAACACAACAGCACAGGGACTCCTATACAACAGGATACCTGAGCCTCTGGAGGGAGGAGGGTTCCTGACACCACCTTCTCCAGGAGGGGCTGTGATTGGCTCCAGACTACTGCTGCCCACGCTGCTTCCAGGTTCTTGCTCAAGCCCTGGGAGACCTACAGTTGATGGGCCAACCTGACACCCTTGCTCAAGGCCAGCTCACAGTTCCAGGTGACGTGAATAGCTGCCCTGGCCTGGCCATTCACCCTTCTTTCCGTGTGTCTCTCACCCAGAAGTGGCCAATCAGTACCAAATGGTGCTGTCCTCCCCCTGTCTCTGGCATTTGGCCCCTGGTCCTAAGCAGAGGTCAGGACCTACTCGCTTCTGTAAGGCCAGACTCATGGGTGGGTGCAGGGAACTGAGGGTGGGGGAAGTGGTGTTCCTTTTACTAACATTCTCAGGGTAATGTGTGGGTCTCTGCTATGCTTCTACATGCCTCCTGAGACCCTGAAAGGAGTCATGTCCCACAAGGGACTCCCTGCAGAGTTGGGTAGATATGAGAGATACAGGAACAAGGAGACTTAGAGAACAGTACATTCCAGAAGGCTAGGGTAGGGTAGCACTGACCTTGATCAGCGAGCTCACGACAATGGCACCAGCGTTGACCATAGGGTTATGGGGGATTCCTGGGGAAATACAAACCACTAGTCTTATCAGCCACTTTACACAGCCTCCTTTCCAGCCTACACAATTTGTAGACTAGACAAGAAGATTTCTTTCCTGGGGAGCAAGGAATGACTGGGCTAATCAGGGAGGCCAGAAACAAAGAAAAAAAAGCAAGCTAAAATGGGAGTGGGGTGGGGTTGAGGGAAATGGGGCAGCCATAGTTTGGTCTGAGCCCTGGTAGCGCTCACCTTCCTCATTGAGGGAGAGTTTGTTGTAGCGTAGCCCACTAGGTTCCTTGCCTACGAACTTGTGCACATAGTCAGTGCCTAGGGTGCTTATGGAGATGGCATAGGTGAGGGGCTTCACACAGGACTGCAGGCAGAAGGGGATCTTGGTGTGGCCCACGGAGTGCCTGGAGACAGATACGTGTCATGGAAGGGATCAGCCTTTGCTTGGTGCCTGTGCCCTGCCTCCCAGTCCTCTCACTCAGCAGCTCACCGCTGACCATCCACAGTGCACAGGGACGCACCCCACAGGTCTGGGTTTGACTTGGCTAGTTGAGGGATGTAGGCCGCCACCTGGGCACAAGTGGGAGAGAAAAGACACAGATGATGGGAGAGATGAATGTGGAAAGGGAGAACAGAACTAAGGTCAGGGTCAGGAGTCTTTCAGAAAAAAAGCTAAAATTCTGGCTCCTGTAGGGCCAATGGACTCCCTCCAGCATGTTGCTCACAGAGACACCCTAAGCCTTAAGTACCAGTGGGTCTTATGCCTTCTGTGGCCCCAGTTTTGTAGGGATGACAGTAAAGCCCATGGAAGGTAAAAAAGGAAAATTTGGAGGCCAGCTTCCTTTTTTGGTTCCTAGGCTTAATTATCTGTTAGGTCTTTTCTACACCTCTGCTCACTTCCTATGCCAATTGTCTCCATAAAAACCCCAGAATCCTTCACCTGCTCTAGGAATCACATGTACAGGGCCCCAGAAACACAGAAAGCTCTAGTCCCTATGTTCAGAAGTTCTGCTTCCGTCATAGCTTTGGAATTGCAACCCCAGGCAATTTCTGAGAAGCAAGGCATATCTAGCCCAGAGCCCTCACCCCTTCATTAGTCCCCTAGCCCTCACTTTGCCTCCAGTGAGCTCTTTGGCATCTTCAAAGATGCGATCCACATGGTCCGTGAAATCCTCAAAATCAGGGATGACAAACTTCTTTCGGAATGCCTGGGTCAGGAGCACAATGTTGCTGCTCACACACCTGGATCCCAGACACGATTGGGTTAGGGAGGCAGGAAGATGCATGAGACTCACTCTGGAGTCAGAGAAGTTGGGAGTCAATAAGGTTTGACCATCAGGCTTGGGACCAATAGCTCTATGACCTTCAGCAAATCACTTTATCTCTCTGAATCTTAGTTTCCTCATCTCTAAAGTGTGGGGTTGTAATAATATGAAAAGATAACACAGATATATATCAAGAAAAACATATGTAAATATGCTACTATTATATATTTAAAATCCTACATCATATATGTAGATTTTTGCATATATTCATGTTTAGCTCTAAAGACAACATTATCTAGATGATACCTACTAATGATACAGCTGGGGAAGGGGACTGGAATTAGGGAGAGAGAGAAGTAGGACATACATTTCCATATTATTTGACCTTTTATAATGAATACATATGAACATTCTTAAATTACTTATATAATAAATAAATAGTCAAGTAAAAGGAGCAGTTAAACTCTATGATCCCCTGGATTTCTCCCTGCTCTTATAACGTATGATCCCCCAGAACAGTGTTGAGAGAAATGCCCCTGTTTCTGAGGCCCTCACTTTTGGAAGAGCTCTCGGTCCAAGAGGCCACCGCTGCTGGACTCTCGAACCATGCGGCGCATCTGGCTCATGCAATCCCGGAGCCTGGGATCTGATGTCTGCAGACCAGTGGCCTTCAATGCCTTTGGAGAACAGAAGAGTCCTGGTAAGATCAACTCTAAAACAGTAATCTCTTCCCAATAATCTTTCCCAGTGGATGCCCAATTTATTGAGTTCCAGCTACTATAAGTAATAGTAGTTGGTGGCACAAATATTAAGTGGAACAGATGGGTTTTGAGACTACGAAAGGAGGGAATGGAGCAGCTTTGAATGCTAATAAGAGTTTCCTGCCCTTTTTCATAGTGGTACCTGGCTTCCGTACCCCTCAGGTTAAAGTCTTAAATCAAGAAGATGGGTTCAGTCAGAGGTTCAGTTTTCCCACTGTGTATCTGCTATCTGTTGTTCTTAATCCTCATTAGTTGTTCTATATGTGTCCTACCCTCCGTCTCCCACTTTCTAGAGATACCAAGGAATAAGGGTTCTGAGCGAACAGATAGCAACTTACAGTAGTGAACTTGTGGATAGGGATTCGTTCCTGTCCCTCGGCAATAGTGTAGAAAAGCAGATCACCCAGGCGGGACAGCATGCCACTCTCTGATGAGTCACTATTTGGGGGCAGAGATAGGAAAGGAGGGAGGATCCTGAGAATTGCTCCCTGCACTTTCTTCTGGAACATGGGCTTATAAGTCACTGGTATCCTTACTCTGTACCTTCTTCATGTAGCAACCATCTGATCCATCATTGTAATTATAACTTTCCATCTATCTTGAGAAGTTTTCAATCTTACTGTCTTATCTTCTTTTGATCCTAACTTTCAAACCTTCATTTTTAGCTGCATTCTAGACACTTTCACTTCTAGATGTCCCCCAGTCACCGCAGAGCCAATATGTCTAAACCTGAGGTCCTCTCCTCTCTTTCTGACTCCTCCTCTTGTGCTTCCTGTCTGGGTTAATAGCATTACCATCCACCTGGGTGCTGAACTGGAAACGAATCATTTAATAACTTCCAGACCTTAAGCCCATGTTCAGTTGGTCACCAAGATTGGACAAATCTATCTCTGTAATGTCTTTGAAATCTATCCCTTTTTCTCCTTTTCACCAGTGCAGCATAGTGTAGAGAAAAGAATCCGTTTGCCTCTTAATAGCTGTGTGGTCTTCAGCAGGTCACTAAATATTGCTGATCCTGCTTTCTTACCTGTAAAATAATGTATCTGCTTCATGTGGATGATAGGAAGCTTAATGAAGATACTAATCTGTGAAAAACTGTCTAACCACAGTACTCAGTAAACCATATTTCTATATTGTCGGCTTCTTATTATGTTACCTGTCACTACTCCTTAGTTCATCTTCTGTGATATGCCAGTTATCTTCCTAAAACCCAAACATTATTTCTCTAATAAAAGCCTCCAGCAGAATAAAGTTATGGCCTATTTCTTGATATGGCATTCAAGGCTATTGAAAGTCTGGCACCAGCTTTCCTTTCCTAGCCCACACTAGGTTCTCGTCCTCCAGTTATACCAAGTAATAGGTGGTTCTCCAAATAGCCCAGGCAGTGTCAGGCTTCCTGGTCTGTGCCTATGTTGCAACTTGAGCATTGAACGACCTTCTTCTCCTTCATCTGGCACAGTCCTGCTCATCCTTCAAATATCCCCAAGATCAAATATCCCCAGTCTGCGAAGCCTTCTCCAAACCTCTAGATTTTACTTATGCTGCTGGTATAACACAGCATCTCACTGTCAGAAGTACCTCCCTCTCTCCACTGTCAGGTCTTTGTGTTTTATACATCCTTGTCTCCCGAACATTGAGCAAAGTTCCTAGCACACAGTGGGTCTTCAGCAAAGAATTACCAAGTTGTATTACCAAGAAACTTTCTGTACCTCAAAGTATCTCTCCCACTGGTTTGTCATAGCAACTAAAACTCTAGATACTGAAGAATTCTTTGCCTTCAAGAGTTCTCTTATTAAAATGTTAACAGATTTAGAGGAATTATTTTATCAAATCATTTCCAAATATGACAGCTAATTGAGCTTAAGATCTTTCAAAGCCCTTTGACCCAACAGTTTGACATCCAAGAATGTATCTTTTAGGTGTACACCTATAGGGTACCATTTTGACAGTTAGTCATTGCATTGTTAGTAATAGCAAAAGACTGGAAATAACTTAAATGTACAACAGTTGTCCTGGTGTGGCACTATAGGAGCAGCACTGGACTGCTAACCACAGGTAGATGGTTCAAACCACCCGCTGCTCCTTGGAAATCCTATACAGTGTCGCTACGACTCAGAACTGACTCGACGGCACTTAACAACAGGGAACTGCTTAGGTAAGTTACAGTATACTCACATAATGGAATAATATGCAGTATATAAAAAAAGAATGAGGCGGTATTGATATAAAATTATCTTTAAGATGTAATAGTAACAAAAATATATGAATCATAGAACAGTATATAGTATAGTACTGTTATTATTGTTGTGAAGTGCCGTTCGAGTTGGTGCCAACACATAGTGACTCTGTATAGGGTTTCCAAGGAGCAGCTGGTGAGCCTGAACCACTGACCTTGTGGTTCAACCCAACTTTGCAGTCCAGCGCATTAACCCACAGCGTCACACCAGGACTCCTGTTCAAAAGGGAAAAATATGTGTTTGCTTATTCAGGCACAAAATATTTCTGGAAGTATGTATAAGAAATTGGTAAGACTGATACCTCTAGGGAGAAGTAGTAGATGCTGGCCAAAAGGTGGGAGGAATATTTTTACTGTGTACCTTTTTATACATTTAGAATTTTGAACCAATATGAATATATTACCTATCAAAACAACACATTAAAAAAGTTAAAAGACTCTCAAACGCCTTGCCATAGACTAGACATATGTGTATTTTGGGTCAGAAGGAGCAGGAGGAGAGCGAAGGGTCTTCCCATTTGTGGGTGAATCCGGTGGTCACAATGAGGTTAATTGCCTATATGGTGGCGCCTGTAGGGAGGAGAGAAGCCCATGTGTGACAAGAGGGGAGATAAAAGCTATCTAATTCTGAGGATGATTGAGAAAGAAAGTACACAGGAACACTTTAAAGACAGATCTGTGTGCCTGGAAGCTGAAACAAAGCAGGAAATCATGCTACACCTAAAAAAACTGCATACTTTTTGACCCGATATGGATCAAAAGAATATGAGATAATTAAATTTGACATTGGTTAAATAATTTATGCTACTGGTATGGTGCTGTGGGTTAATGCGCTGGGCTGCAAAGTCAGTATGAACTGCAAGGTCGGCGGTTCAAGTTCATCAGCTCTCCTCGGAAACCCTATACAAGTTCACTGTGAGTCGGAACTGACTTGATGGTATTTAACAACAACAACTTCATATAATGGAAAATTTTTAAGTGGCAAAATGACATCCATTTAAAATGACAATGTCATATATATATCTCCACGTATAGTATTGTTGTTGATGTTAGGTACTGTTGAGTTGGTTCTGACTCATAGTGACCTATGCACAATGGAACGAAACATTGCATTGCCTGGGCCTGCGCCAACCTTACAAGCGTTACGCTTGAGCCAATCGCTGCTGCCACTGTGCCAATCCATCTCATTGGGGGGGCTCCCTCTTTTTCGCTGACCATCCACTTTACTCTGCATGATGCTCATAACTGGAAGAGTCTATTAAAGAATATGAATACTGTTATTATTTTTGTTAAATTATACACATACAATAAAAATAAATATATAGTATATATATGGATAGGGAGTCCTGGTATGGCACTGTAGAATAAGCACTGAACTGCCAATCACAGGGTTGGCATCTCAAATCAACCACCTGCTCCTTGGAAGCCCTATACAGGGTAGCTACGAGTCAGAAATGACTCAACAGCACTTAACAGCAAAAACAATATGTGGTATGAAGAAATGTTCACGATCACTAGCTATTAGAGAGATGAAATCAAAACAACAATGAGATACCATCTCACACCAGCAATAACAGCAAAGATCAAAAAAGTAGAGGACAATAAATGCTGGCGGGGATGTGGAGAGACTGGAATACTCCTGCATTGCTGGTGGAACTGCAAAATGGTCCAACCTCTCTGGAAAGCAATATGGCGTTTCCTCAGAAGGTTGGAAATAGAAATACCTTATGGTCCAGCAATTCCTCTACTTGGTATTTACCCACAAGAAATATGAGCCATAACACAAGTAGATATATGCACACCAATGTTCATAGCAGCACTATTCACAATAGCAAAAAGATGGAGAGTCTAAGTGGCCATCAACGGAAGAATGGATAAACAAACTGGAATATTATGGATAAACAAACACAATGGAATATTATGCTACCTTGAAGAACAACAAGGAAGCTGTAAGCTTTCACATAACATGGATGAAACTTGAGGACATTATATTGAGTGAAATTAGTCACAAAAGAAGAAATACTGCATAGGACCACTACTATAAGAGACTAAGAAAAAGAACCCATACTAAAGAGGGGAGGATTCTTTGCTGGTTACTGGGATGTGAGTGGGGGATGAAGGGAGGGAGGGGAAGGTGGAGCACAGGGTAGGGAATAGACGCAGGATCCTTTGGGTGCTAGGGAGGGGGGCAATATACAAGAAGGGGGAGGGGAATGGAAGAACAA